TGATGTGGTTGGGTCCTCTGATGCTGTTGCCAGAGTAGATATGGGGACAGAGTAGGCAACGAGGTTTGCTACAGAACCTATCCCTGCTCTCCATGTGTCAGTATATAATGCCTGCATCTGTAACTTTCACTCTATGCATCCGAAGAAGTGAGGTTTTTACTTAGTGAAGTCAACGGAACCTTTGAGTATGCAGGGAAGGTGAAATCCACCCCTGAGTGTAGAGGCCAGAATAAGCTTATGCACCACATAAGTGTTACTGAAGCCCTCAGTGGGACTTGAGTGGTACATAGGCCTTGGGCTGGCCCTCTGTACAGGGGTGGATTTCAGAATGAATACAGGATCAGGCCCTTGCAGTGCAATGCATTGCTTTCGGAGTGTAACAAGGGATGTTAAAATGAAGTAAAGCTTCTAAAACTGTAAACATTATATCTGCTCCTTTCCTCCCCTTAGACACACACATGCACACTATTGAACTACTAGTAATTCCAGATAGGGCTAAAGGGATATCTTTTCTGATTGGATTGGGACATCATCATTCCTAACACAGAGGTACTAAAGGTTAAATTCTGCTCAGAGATGTGACTCCAAGTCAAACAATTTTATGTCAGTGGGAGTTGATTAGTGATACCAGAACTCTTATCTTAAAGAGTTTCTGTAGCACCTTCCTTCTATGTGGTTCTAGGCACTTTATAATTACTAAAGGACAGATCCTGATACCCATATCCATAATAGTCCCGTTGATTTCAGATAGATAAATTATGACATACTATAATAAGAATTGTGTAATATTATACTGATAGGAGGCCACTGGATTAAGGTAATGGATTCTTGAACAGATTCTTTCCCACCGGGGACAATTACAAAATTGATCAGTTGACGATTCGCCATTCTAACAAAAAATGGTCAACTTCCGGGTAGCGAAAGAGTCTCTGAAAGAGTAATGCTTATTATGTATAGCTTGCTATCCTTTAGGGAAAAATCCTTCCAGTGATAAGCGTGTATGTGACCCTAATATGCCTGGTTATTCTTGAAATATCAGCCTGTTCCCTATAACACTTATTTGCCATTAACCAAATATCTAATCTGAATTCCACTAAAATCTCATGCAAAACTGGAACGATCTCAGTGGTTTGGATCTTGGTGCCTCATTAAAAACAGTGGGTGAAATCCTGGCTTACTTGATGTCAATGGCAAAGCTTCCATAGATTCTAATGGGTCTAGAATTTCACCTTGCATGTTGACCATCTGTTTAAAAAAAAACAAAAACCAAACCAAATTGTTGCCAAAAAGAAAAGTAATGTAGACAAATGATAAGAAATACACATCCTTACCTGTCACATGCTAATGAGGGTTTGTTGCATGTAAGTGTGAATATATGTGTGAGACCGAGGACATATTTTCTGCGAGTCGCTGGCTAGATAGATGTAGCCCCCTGCAGAATTACCACCTCTACTCTGTTTTACTGAAGCAAGCACCCGCTCTTTTTAAATCTCTCTTAGAAACGTATTTCTTCTGTGATGGCCACGAGTCAAGAATATTCAAGACCTTACCTGCCTTGTTTTTGTTTTATAAAACAAACCCTGAACTGAATCATTGTGATGGGCTCACTGTCAACGCGTGCGTGAGCTGAGTAACAGTGTCTCTGTGCTGCCCTCACCAATTCCTCCTGCCGTTTATTTCCTCCACTCATTGTCACATCTAAAATTTAGATTGGGGAGCGACCATGGGTCGGGTTTATTGGTTTATGGCTGTTCTGTGCCACTGGAGCAGTGCAACGCAGCAGGAGTATGGCTGTAAATTTGGACCCAACTTACTGATGCCTTTTGCCCAGCACGTCTCTCGGTCAAAGAAAACAACAACAAGGAATAACCTGCCCTGCCTTTAGTATTCAAGCCTATGGCTGTATACTAGCCTGATTACAATAGATGATTACAAAGCTGCAAGCTTATGTAAAGTGAAATCCAACATCATGCAGAAAAAAATTACTCAACT